ATCATTTTAGGTGCATCTGATCAATAACACTTAGGTGATATACGAACAAGGTTTGAGCAGCAGAAATGTGTGAGCATACAGGCCCTGTTGACGTCTTGGGATAGCTGTCTGCCTCCGTGGTCGACAGCTTCTCGACCTTGAAAAGTCGTTGCCAGGGGAGATGAAAGTTTTCTGAAAGTTTGGCTAGTTGAATTTTGATTGTGCCATTGGTTCATTCCACCAATCCAGAATGGGGGTGGTAGGCACAGTGAAAATGCTACTGATGGATTTTATTATTTGTCAAATGAAATAGGTCCCTCAGTCACTATGTAACTCAGAGGGAATTCCCCAGTTGGGAATTATTTCTTCTAATAACAACTTACCACCAGTTAAGGCAGTTGCTGTCCTGCAAGGGTATGCCTCGACCCAGTGAGAAAACATACAAGTCATAACTAATATATATTTGTATCCCTGAAGTGGTGGCATTTGGATAAAGTCCAATTGCCATACCTCAAATGGACCTAAAGGAAGTGGGAAATGTCCTTGGGATCCATGGAGTGGTTTTCCTGGGATATACTTGGGACAGATAGAACATCCTCTGTACACTTTATGAGCTACAGTAGGAGAAGGTATCCAGTAATATTGTTACTCCATAAAACCATCTTTTCAGGACCCCTGTGTATTAGCTCATATACATGATGAAGTATAGAGAGTTGGGCCCTTCTCGGTAAAATAGGTTTCTGATTGGGCCCAAGCCATATCTGTCTGTCTGGGTCAAATGTTCCCCCTTTTTTTTGCCATATTTTCTTTTCTTCCTCTGTAGCTGTCTGTTGAAACTGGAAAAGATAATCTTTTACTGATTTACTAGAAAGCAAAGAACATTCTCGGGTCTGGGTAACTGGACTGTTAAAGGCTGCCTGCTTAGCTGCAGCATCAGCGAAATGATTTCCTTTTGCTTCCATGGTGGTAGCTTTAGAATGCCCTGGGGTTGATAATTGCCACTTGTTTTGGTTGCTGTATGGCATCTAAAAATTCTGCAACCAGTTTTCCACTTTTATGGGCTTCCCTGAGGAGGTTAAGAAGCCTCGCTGCTTCAGTAGCATTCCAAAGTCGTGAGCTACACCAAATGCACAGCAACTCTCAGTGTAAATATTGGCTACTTGATCTTTGGCCAACTGACAAGCCCGAGTTAGACCAATTAGTTCAGCTTGCTGGGCAGGTCTTATTTCAGGTAGATAAGAACTTTCAATTATGTCCACCACAGAAGTTATAGCATATCCAGCTCGGTAGTGACCCTGTTCATCTTTCAGATAAGATCTGTGAACCAAATTAAGTCAGCATCATCAATAGGAGCTTCCTGTAAATCATTCCTAGGAGCAAGAAGGTAGTCAGTAAGCAAAACACAACTGTAGGTGTCTTCATCCTGTAAAGAGGGTAACAAAGCTGCAGGGTTAAAGCGATGACGCCGAATTAAAGTAAAATTAGGTGTGGAGAGCAGGAGCACTTTCATAAGAAGCCGAATGACTGACAGAGAAGTGTTGAGCGTGGTGAGAATTCAGCAAAGATTCAACAGAATGAGGAACAGGAATAGTTAAAGGAGAGCCCAAACTATCTCTCCTGTCTGGTTACAGAGCATGGCTTTCGCAGAGGTGGCCTCAAGCAGCGAGGGAGCCCTTTGGCCGCTGAGTCTAGTTGCTGACCATAATCTCCTATAGGTCCATGTTTCTGAGTTAGAACTCCCAAAGCATTTCCTTTACTTTCATGTGTGAGAAGGAAGGGAAATTTAAAATTGGATGTCCCAGAGCAGGAGCTTTAGACAATGCTTCCTTTAGAGCCTCTACAGCTTGTTTCCCGTTGGGGTTCCATTGAATTGGATCAGGTTGATCTGACTTTAATAGGGCCTATAGGGGCTGGGCTAGTAATGAAAAGTTTAGAACCCAATTTTGACAATATCCAGTCAAACCCAGGAATCTTCTAAGCTGCTTACTTGTTTTTGGAAGAGAAGATGGGATTCCGCTAAGTCTTTCAGGGTTAATCAGTAGCCCATCTGTAGATATGAGATGGCCAAGGCATTTTACTTGAGGTAAGCAAAACTGAAGCTTATCCTTCGAGACCTTATGTTCTTTTATAGCTGCTGCTGCAACAGGTAAATCGTGTCCTTTTGGGTGTCTAGTAATGTCCTAGAGCATAAAAGTAAATCACCCACATATTGGATTAGAGTGGAATCTCTAGGAAATTTAACATAATTTCAATCAGCTTTTAATATCTGGGAGAAATAGCTGGTACAATCTGTATATCCCTGGGACATTACAGTCCAAGTAAATTGTCGATCTTCCCAGGTGAAGGCAAAGAAATACTGTCTTTTTCTACTGGAATGCTGAAAAAGGCACTACATAAATCTGTTACTGAAAAATATTGGCAATCCTTAGGAGTGGCTGATAATAAAGCATGTGGATTTGGAACCACAGGATGCTTGGGAATAATTCTCTTATTTACAGCTCTCAGATCCTGTGCAAATTCCCATTCTTTTCCTTTTGGCTTCTTTACTGGAAGGACAGGAGAATTACAGGGGCTTGTACATGGAATTATAAGCCTGTTTTAAAGTAATCTTGTATAATGGGCTTAATTCCAGCTAGCGCATCAGTCTTAAAGGATATTGGCAGATATTAGGTAGAGGTAAAGAATTATCAATAGTTATTTTAATAGGAGTGGCTGACTTGATCTTGCCAATATCTATAGTGGGATCTACAAAGAGAAAACAAACAGAAGCAAGCATAGGGCTGCTCCAAGGACCATGAGAGGGTATTTCCCCCTCTCCTTACTAATGCTTTAGGAGAAATTGAGATTATCACAAGAGGGGAAGTTACTAAGGCCCTTGTAGATACTTCGGCTACTTTAACTATTCTTAACCCTACCCAGCTAAGTTTCTCTCTCCCTCAAAGTAAAGCTTCTGTGCAAATGGTAGGGGTATCCAACCAACCAAGGGCTGTTTTTAAGTCAGAGCCTATCCCCCTTCAAGGGAATGTTACAGGGCAACATATATTTTCCTGAAACCCATGATCCCGCATACCGTTTTCCTGGAGAGGTGAAATGTCTGTAGAACTAAATGAATCAGATGCTGATCCAATTGGGGAAATAATGGTTTTAAAAGAACTTCCCGAGGAAAATAATCTTGAAACAACGTTGAGAATGGCATTGCTGTTTGCTGGCCTCCTACTCTGTGCCAGTCGCCCTGACAGGCGCTTTATAAACATTGCCATATTGCACGACCTGGAGATAGACACTGAGTTACGGATGGCCACGCTTCCTTAAGGCTCCTCTCTCTCTTCAACACGTGGGCCTATGCTTCCTCCCCTTGAACCTGGGCAGGTTTAAGATGGCTTCTGCCAAAGCAACACAGAGGACCCCATGAAGAGACTGCCACGTCTACTTCTGGCCTCTAGGAGCATTCCCTCTTGAGCCCTGAGCTGTCATGTAAGAAACCAGACCGTCCTACCAGGCGGACCATATAGAAATGCCCTAAGAGGGCCCAGGGGATCCCAGCCTCCCAGCTACCCGGCCAAGCCACCGGGCATATGCGTGGCCTGCTAAAACCACCAAGCTGCCTGCTAAATCACGGAGTGGCCTGTTATGGGCTACATGGCTGTGTTGCTCCCCTCAACTCCTGCCATTTCATATGTTGAAGCCCTAACCTCCAGCGGGATTGTATTAGAGGGTGGGCCTGTGGGAGGCGATTACATCCAGCTGAGATCGTGAGGGCAAAGCCCCCGTGATGGGATTAGTGTCCTTACAAAAAGAGAAAGAGACTAGGGCGTTCTTTCCCTGGCGTGTGAGCACATAGTGAGAAGGCAGCTGTCTACAAGCCAGAAGTGGCTTCTCACCAGACACCAGATCTGCCAGTGCCTTGATCTTGGGCTTCCCAGCCTCCAGAACTATAAGGAATAAATGCTTGTTGCTTAAGCCCCCCAGTCTGTGGTGTTTTTGTTACCACAGCCGAAATTCAAACAGACCCTAACCCATTACACGCCAAACAGGAGAATCACCCGGCTGAGCCCTGCCCACACTTTTGACTTGCAAAATTATGAAATATGGTAAAATGTTTGTTGCCTGAAGGCAGTGAGATGTGGAGCAGGGTGTTACACAGCTTCCTACAGTGGACGGTCTTTGCTCTGGGACTCGTCACAGACCCGGGCAAGGCTTCCTCAGAGCCACACATGTTCCGAGGCTCCTGCTCATGCTCCACCTGCTCTGGGGTCTGAAGGCCTCCCGGCCTCTGTCTGCTGTCTCTCCCCTTTTCCCTCCACTGGTGTCCCCAAAGGACCTCCGGCACATCTAATGCCACCTTGGTGTCTGCTTGTTGTATGACAGCCCAGTCCCACCCCTGCCCATCCCTCTCACCCTGCAGATGTGTTCTGTCCCTCAGGGTGCCAGAGCGAGCCAGGCTTAATTAGATTGCGGCTTTTAATAATGCACCTGCCCTCACTTGTCAGCTTCTTGTGAAGTCGCCGTAGATGCCCTCCCCCCC